AAAAAAATTTTATTTGATAATAAAATAACTAAAAAATAAATGTATTAAAAATTTTATGAAACATTTAAATTTATAAATATGAGGATCTCGGCCAGTTTTGGCAGTAAGTTTATAATATATAGAGGAAGGTCACCGATACCGACATACCACTTTGTCTTTAGACAATATTTCTTTAACAAAAGGTAAAAATACAACTCCAAAAACATCAATACAAACTAAAAAGTGTCTTCTATACTGCTTTACAAAGATAAAAAAAGTACCTTTTCTTGCTATTGTAAGGCTAGGTCCACAATCTTGCTTTAAGAAGCCTTAAGTCATAAGTCGAAAGAGATTAAGTGACAATAATTTCTGTCTTTAAACTGTTTTTGCGCAGTCTTTAGGCTTTAACCGTTAAATTTAAGCGAATTGAGCAAAACCCAATTCTTACGTCCTAAAAGCGTAAGTTCTGTGATCGAAATATTGTTAATTAAAGATTACAACTTATAGCTTACAGCTTCTTAAAACGAGGTTGTGGACTTAGCCTAAAATTAAAAGAAAAGCAAATTTCTCATGAAATCTTACACTTCACCTGTGCTCATACAGACGTAAATTTATCACATCACTTTTTTGCCGCGCGACAAACGTTAAATAGCTATTGCGTTGCTTTTATCGTTTACAAGTTATTCAGTTCTCGATGCCAACGTGGACAATTGAACAAATCAACGTAATCTTGGGCCTTTTCGTGTTGCTCGTACTTCTTCCTAAGCAACAAATCGACGTCGTATGGACGTCCAAACCAAATCCCATAAATGTCTTTCACATGTACAATGTATTCCCCTAAAGACGTCTAATAGACGTCGTACGTCCAATCTCGAATGGCACAGATAATTTGGAAATTATTCATCTTTTCTGGTCAATAAATTGTTGAAAACAAATAGAAGGATACCGAACAGTTGTTTAACTCCAAGATAAATGTATATAAAGTTGTTTGATAGTACTTGGTCCTCGGATCTTGCTGACGATTGTTCGCGCATTGCTCGAAAATTAAACTTATATTAAGAACGTACCTTGGACATCCCTAAAATATCTGTAAATAACTTTATTATAAGATGTCCAAGCAATGTCTTTAAAACGTATTTCGGGTGTCTAACGTACAGCGACATAAATTGGACTTTTCAGGACATATTTCGGACGTGGCAGGATGTCCAAGGACGTCCAATTGTTGCTTGGGTTACTCTCAATCTTCGCATTCTCTCTTTTCAACGCCCCAATGTGTGTATGTTCATCTTGTTTTAAATAAAAAATTTTTTAGGAATTTCAATCAATACACAAACGGATGTCTTCTTGTATTTTTTTTTTTTTTAGGTGTCCGACTTTTGCAATCGTAGAATAAGCCTGGATCTACAATGGATTTTTAAGCCTTATGCCATAAGAAATGGATGAATCATAGTCAATTATTCTTCTTGCATTCGATTGTAATTGGTCAATTTCTTAACGGCTCAAGTTTTAAAATACCTATTGTAGATCCGAACTAAAAGTCTTTGCACATAAATTTTCATTGTCGCATTAAAATATGCATAAAGAAGATTATTTAATCGCATTTATATTATAAAGGCACATGTAATATCCCGTTGGATAATCTTCTGGCTAAATCACCGTATTAAAAACGAGTTTACTTCTGGATAATTAATATCCGTTCATTATTATTTCAGAATTAGTCGTCAATATATATTTAAAAGAAATAAAAAGGAACTCTAAACTTACCAATGTTTGAAGGTAATTAAGTCTTTATTTTGTTCTTCATCATACTCTCTTATAACGTTTTCATCAAACTTGAGCTGAATAGACATGATAATAATCGAACCGTGTTAGTATCACTATAAATACAATATGTAGAAATATGTGTTAAATAATATCTTATATCTCAAGTGATGCGTACTGACGATTGAAAGCGGAATAAACGAACTCTTTCCTCGAAAGTTAATATAAATCTGCCTGCGCGTTATTGATACCAGTATACTCGTAAATATTATCTAGTTAGGGCTTGTGTTCATGATGTTAGAACACGCGCGCGATCCGAGTTATTTATATTAGAAATTAGCTTTCATGACTTATACCAACTTTAAAATATTAAACCAATGCTATAAGTTGTGAGTGATTCCACTTGGCCAAATGGAACATTTCCGTTATCACCGATTATGATTAATAACTATTTCACACAGAATGCGCTCATGATTATTAAATTTTTCAACACGTTGCTATGCATTTATTTACAGGGTGGTCCACTTAAATCGACCATTTGAAATATCTCGCTTATTTTTGATGATATAAAAAAATGTTTCAAATGAAAGTGGGACGTTTTCGAGTCGGATGTATTTTGGTCATGCTTTTTTCCCTCGTGGAGGCGCCAAAAAGATATGAAGGTCATCTCCATTTTTTTATTATAAATGGAATTGTATGATTTTTTTACATAATATGACTCCTATAATTATTCCGCATATAAAAGTATTAAAGTAATAATATCAAAAAATCAGTATTTTATGAGATATTTTACACTTTATTCTGACACATTTTGACATAAAATGTTAAATAACTCGTAAACTAATTCACTTTTTTTGATAATCATACCTTAATAGATACCTTTATTAACAGAATAATGAGATAATCAATTCGTGGAAAGAAAATACATATATGTAGTTGCTAATTTTAAAAATTATCCATTTCGCATACATATTTTTTAAAGCAATGATGTGTTTCCTTTACACCAACTGATTCATTTCATTATTCTGTTCATAAAAGTATAATATTAAGGTATGATTATAAAAAAGTTAATAGTTTACTAGTTATTTAACATTTTATGTCAATATGTGCCAGAATAAAGTGTAAAATATCTCGTAAACTAATGATTTTTTGATATCACTTTTTGATATCATTTTTTGATACCTTCATAAGAATAGGATAGTTCTCCAGAAAGGGCCGACTGCATGGACCGGAACAAATGGAAATCTGAAGGAGCAATGTCCGATGAATACGGCGGGTGGGGCAGAATTTTCCACTTTACTCCTTCCAAGTATTTCTTAATCGGTTTTGCAACGTGTGACCTAGCGTTGTCATGTAGCAGAATCAGCTTGTTGTGCCTATTGTCCCATTTCGGTCATTTTTCTTTCAAAGCTTGGTTTAAACGTATCACTTGTAGTCGATAATGATAGCCAGTGATGGTTTCTTCGAGTAATGCTTGCAATTCTGCATCTTCAAATTTTTTAGTGCACCTTCGCGTTCTTTGTCACGCACGTCGAAATCACCATTATTGAATCGTTGAAACCTTTCTTTACAAGTAGTATTCGATGGAGCATGCTCACCATAAATATCTACGAGCAAACGATGCGTTTCCGCAGCACTTTTCTTTAAAATGAAATAATGTAGTAAAACTTCCCGCAAATGTTGCTTTTTTGGAATAAATTCCGACACTTTCAACGCAAAAAAAATTACTCTTGTTTACGGTTCGAACGAATGCCAACTACTGGGCTCAAAAGCTTGAACGCTTACCTTTCAAATACTGTATTGCCGTTTTATTAAATACCCAAGCAGTGCTACTAACGATGTCTCTCTACAATGGGCGGAAACTTATTCCCATACCCAATATAAAAGAATATTTTGTGTCTTTATAACATTTTTTTATTTCATAATTAAATTTTTTATGAACAATGACATTTATTTGATTTAATAGAGTTAGATATTTGTATAAAAATATTAGAGTCTGTCAAAATTACATTTTTTTACTAACATAAGTGAGTAGACTTCGAGTATTCACTAAACTAAATGAAGAAGATACATAGTAGATCTATTTTATGTCGGTAGAAATTAATATCGCACATGAACATTATTACAGATAACATTATGAATTCGTAATATTATTTAACTGCAAGTTATAATAAAAATCTGTGGATAATAAGATAAATATTATTTTATACATCAGACAGATATATAGATTATGTAACTGAAGTAAGTAAATAATTCAATTTTATTGTAGCGATATTTTAATATAAGGTAGTGCGTTAAAATGAAGTTGTCACAATACGCATATAACAAAAAAGCAGATTAGATTAATTGAATTTTAAATTCTTTCTCATTTTTCCTCAATTGTAGATTTTATCGAGTTATTTTTTATGAACAATGACATTTATTTGATTTAATAGAGTTAGATATTTGTATAAAAATATTAGAGTCTGTCAAAATTACATTTTTTTACTAACATAAGTGAGTAGACTTCGAGTATTCACTAAACTAAATGAAGAAGATACATAGTAGATCTATTTTATGTCGGTAGAAATTAATATCGCACATGAACATTATTACAGATAACATTATGAATTCGTAATATTATTTAACTGTAAGTTATAATAAAAATCTGTGGATAATAAGATAAATATTATTTTATACATCAGACAGATATATAGATTATGTAACTGAAGTAAGTAAATAATTCAATTTTATTGTAGCGATATTTTAATATAAGGTAGTGCGTTAAAATGAAGTTGTCACAATACGCATATAACAAAAAAGCAGATTAGATTAATTGAATTTTAAATTCTTTCTCATTTTTCCTCAATTGTAGATTTTATCGAGTTATCTTTTTTTTCTGATAAACGCGATATCATGCGAACGTATAGTATTTTCAAAATCTGTTCGTTACCATGTGCAAAGCGCACAAATATATTTGCACATTCATTTTTTAGGAATAATTTTATATGAAATGTGATATATAATATCAGACATATTTTTTTCTCTTTCGTACTTTACCATACACAGTAAAAAACATTTTACATTGATCTATTCAAGTCCTTGTTAAAATTTCGTGTTGAATTTTTAACATATTCAAATATTAATTTAACATAATGTGATTATGTTATTTAAGTATTTTATGCTAAATTGAGATTTAACATTTCTTAATGTCAAAGTAACATAATTTATGTGTTACTTAAATGAGTAAATGACGTAAAAATAATATACTTAAAAGATAAATTCTAAGATAAATGAATAAAATACGTGTTATTTAAAATATCATAATCATTAATTTTATTTAAAAAAATGCATTTGCAATTTGTTTACAAATTATGTTAGTATTACCTTATTTTTAATTTAATGTTATGTTACTTTTAATTGATATCGACTTTCTATTTTTAATATTAGTATGAAAATAACATAAAGAATGAAATTTATTATAAAGGAAGGGTGAAATCTTTTCACGCTTGCGGTTTTTATATTTATTTTTAGGGTTGGGAAGTAAACTAATTACTTGTAACTAAGTTATAGTTTTTTTTTTTCAGTATAACTTAACTTAGTTCCTTTTTTCCATCTGTAACTGTAACTTAATTTAGTTATATTTCTTCCAATAACTAGTAACTAATTTAACAGTTACTTTTACAGTTATTTTATATTTTAACTTATTTGTCAATTTAATGTGATCGTTAAAATCTGAATACTTAAGGCTACGGTCCACTTGATGCTACAAATGCTTCGAAGTATTTTTTGATTGGTCAGTTTGTCAAATTCTTTCTTTCAATTGGTCAATCAAATGCGCTAAGGGTGCGTTCCACTTAACATCCCCAACTCTCACGTATATCATTTCATTGTTTAATATTTGTAATGGCGTTAATTATTAAATGCATGTTATTATTTCGTCCGTTATTTGAGTTATCTCGCATATATTCCCGCAAAATTAAAGGAATTTTTTAATAAAATTGTATCGTGTAAACGTAAATTATTTTTTTCTTTGATAGCTCTAATGATATCGGTGATACTCATATTGTTCTGTCATGATAACAGAAAAGTAACTGAAAAGTTACTTTTTTAGTAACTGTAATTGTAACGAGTTAATTTTTAGTCTCGGTAACTTGGAACTGTAACTATATAGTTACTTTTGAAAGAAAAAAACTATAACTGTAACTAGTTATTTTTACAAAGTATAAACTTTCCCAACCCTGCTTATTTTATTAGTACATTGTAGAAATAAATTTAATACAAAATCGTTAAAGATTTTTTGTCTTTGACGATATTACCAACAAATACTCTTCAAGTGCATTATCATTTATTTTTATCGTTCAACTGGGATCAATCGTGGTTGTAGAAATGATTGATCGAACGATAGCGTGGTGCCAACACGATAGAAAAATTATTAGATTGGACTTATTCCTTTCAATATATCCATAAATGTTATAGTTAATAGATATTTGTTGAGAATCTGCGAGGCAATGGTATTAATAATATACTCAATCATGTTTTGGTTGGAGGCGATGAGCTTAGGTATTACATCGGAGATCGTCTTGCTGATTCTCTCGGACATGTCCTCATCGTTGTAGATATCCGTCACGTTAAACTGCGAGCGATACGAAAGAAAATTTTATTAAAAATTAGGAAAAGTGAAAATAGTCAGTGAAAGAAAATTAATTAAGGTAACTCCGGCAAATACTTCGCGCTGGGATTTATGCCGCAAAGTCAGAAAAAATAGAAGGAGTAGGGGTAATTTTTCCGCAACTATTCTGTTACATGACTTTATATTATATTAGTATTGTGTTATAATTTCAGCTTCTTACTGTTAATATTAATGAAATTATTGAGAATTGAATCGATTTGTCACTGCAATAAGTAGCGCCATCATAAGTTATAATCTACATAAAATGATTACTGTAGGACGTGTAAAAGACTTAGTGATTATTTCGTGATACATACGTGTAGAGGAATAAGTAAAGCATATTTTATAGCAAAATACAAGTGCTTTGCTTTCGTATTCTTTGTTTAGTTTGTTGTCTTGTATATCCCACCTGTTTGGGATATACGGCATTTTTAGCGGACGGGATTTATGCCCAAAGCATACAAAGTGCGCAGATTGAATTCAGTGCACTAAATACAATAAATATATTACACGAAATATGTACCTCATGTCATAAAACTTGTAATATATGTAGGAAGATTGTAATTATTTATTACTTCATATACATATTTATCATTCTTATTCCTTAATAAAACTTTATAAACGCATTTTATAAGTTATTGTGTCATTTTATGTCTTATTTATAAGCATTATTTGTAAATTTTTCATGAGCCGTACATACTCCCCTCTCCCCTATGAGTAGCCATATTATCTCACCCCTAAAGGAAATACGGCAAAAATGCAAAGGTTTCAAAAAGTTCATTTCTTAATACGAAAAATAAATATATATACAATATATATTTCGAATTTCTAATATTTTTTTCATAGTAGTAGACAGTAGACACAAAGTTTTTACTGATATAGTTCGTTTACTTTAAACATAGTAAATAATACGTAATAAATTAAGTTTTTGATAGGTGCGGCGTATATACCGGAGTTACCCTGTTTTTTTATTCCATGCAATCGAATTCATTGAGAAACGTTTCAGAGACGTTTTGACTTGAATCAGTTTCTATAGAGTCATTGCATGTAAAATGTCAAACTCCTATAATTTCAGCTGCATATTTATGATTTTTTTTCAACTAAAATAAATTCATTAAAATCGATTGAAGAAAATTAAATCAGTGTTTTATGGAGACTTCATGATTAGACCAATCGCGACTTTTCACAGTCAACTTATTTCTTTTTTTCTATCTACTTAATCTCTTTTTAAAATCTACATTATTTTATATAAATTTTAATACATATTGTTTGACATATAAATATGTGCTTATTAGACAAAAAGTTTCTGGAGAGTTCAGTAACAATCTTTTTTAAGCCAAATGAGATGTAAATTTTTCGAGTCTTTTTTATAATAGCAGTTTGTAACAACATCGATATCTATGCTAACAGCAGTGTGACTGGGTCGCCTTTTTATATATGCAAATTGAAAAGCAGAAAACGTGGCAGTGTTAATTTGATATATCGTACAAGTAACAATTTTCTCGCATAATAATTGATGTAATCAAAGAATTTAAAATATACTATTTAACATATTAAAAAAATTAATAAATTATTCTTTAAAATTTTGAAAAATTAAGTGTGCATAACATTGTAGAGAAAACTTGTAACATAAGCTTACACGAGAAAAATGGTCAAGAAAGTTCAATATCTGAAATATAAAGTTGTAAAACGATATTTGATTTTTACTATTTTTTTCTTTTAACTTAACAAGAAAATCGTTAATAGAGTTTTTAAAATTATATATATATATATTTTATTTCTCAGTAAGTTATCTGAAGATTGTTAACGTAAAGTTACTTATTTTATATTCGATATTATTTTTGCATTAGCCTGAACGCTTATAGATGCGGGTCCTGAGAATCAATCGCAAAAGCCAGAAAAGAATTGACAGAACTGTAGCTTAATTACTTACGTTCAATGCTTCCAATAAAATCTGTGATGTTACACTTCGAACTTGCATATACGGGCCCTTCAGTTTTAAATCAACATCCATAATAGTTCTGAAGTTATGTGCGATTCCACTAAAAATTAAATATAATTCTGTAGCTTTAAAGACTTTATTATCTCAAATTTTTACTTTAAAAAATTATCAAGATGCATAAAAAAAATAGATATAGAAATAGACAAAACATAGAAATAAAGTGGAAAGAAATATTATAAAAATGTCCTGCACTGAAAAAAGTGCCTGGTTATAGCCATCAAATATTGAGTGAAATAATTTCAATTAAATGTTGAGGTAATAACTAAACATAACTTCATAAATAATTATTTCACTCATTATTTGATGATAGCTATAACTAGACTCTTTTTCCAGTATGTAATTTTGAAGGCAGGAACTTAATTACAAAGGAATAATATTTATTGATAAAAAATAATTGATTATTATATTTTAAATAAACGCCGTCAAAAAGATCTTTCTTCCTGATTTTATGCACGTTAAAAAGATTCATTTAAATATAAATTTATCATTCAATTTAATAATGGAGCGATAAATTATCTTAAATCTAAAAAAAGTTCCGTTGAAATTTCCATCAAAGCAATCTCAATTGAGTTTCGCGTTTGTTAAAAGCGAGCCTGACCACCGACCGTAAGAAAGCTGAACGCGAGATTGCGGATCGGCGCGATCGCGTGTTTAGCGCAAAGGATATAAATGCACGATTTAATAACACGCTTTGTCGCAGTTGGCGTCGCCTGATAAAGTCACGAAAGCGTTGAATGAAAAACGGCTAACTCATTGTCAGTCATTCCAGCTCTCGTTTTTTTTTCACGTACATATTTCAAGCATTGTAGTTAAATATAGATGAAGCGGAATGAAAACCGAACGTTCTTTACGAGGAAAGACCAGCGATCTTTCTCATTGCAATAATTATGATAATAATGATTAATTATAATTATGCTAATGATGATAAACAATTATTTATTTTAATTACGATGAAAAGATAATCACAATATATTATTATGATAATAATAATTGAAATTAATACACATTCGCTAAAGATTTAAATTCTTCTGTCTTTTACTGATAAATAATAAAATGCAAAAATTGGCAGCAAGATCCTTTTTCGTGTGCCATAGATATTAGAAAATCGCGATCGAAGTATGATAATTAGATTCTCTCGAAAGAAACAAATACTTACTCCATATTTCCATCTCCATGAATATCGTAGTTAAGGACGTTGCATTCCAAGGAGTAATTAGTATTCGCGGTTGTCAACGGCCAGCTTAGATCTATGTAGGCATTCATATTAATTAGATTGAATTTAGCGCTGTTAATGTTAAACGAGGCCAAACCAGTTAAGTTAAGGTTTTCAAGAAATCCCTCGAGGCTGAAAGAATAAAGAAAAAAATAAAAAATTTGCTAGTCGTTATTAAACTTCGTTCTTTACTTCGTCTAATAACGAATCGTTTATGATACTGTCATGTCATACATGATACATGTTAAATTAAGGTATATCCCAAGCAGAACAACAAATCACGATAACGTCAAAATGACATAACGTTAAAATGTGAATAAAAAATGACTTTTAATGATCATTTTGTAATCATCTTGACATCATTTTGACATCATATCATAATGACTTGTTATTCTGCTTGGGATCTTCTCTCGCTAAACTATATTTTTTAAATTTGCAATGAGTGCAAAAAGTATTCGTACAGGAAAGATTTTTTTTTAAAGAAATTTTGTTTTTAGAAAGTAAACATTAATTAGCACACAAATTAGTAAAAAATGAAATGTTATATATTTTTTAAATTATTTTACCTAAAAAGTTGTATAATAATAAAAATATATTAATAATAAACATGAAAAAGTATATTCTTTTGATCGTAGAAGAAATACAATCGAGAAATTTAGCTTTTAAACGGTTATTTTTACGAATAACTTTTATTTATTGTACAATATATTAGGAAAGAATGTATTCGTTAATAAATTGTTAAAAAATTAAGGTTTATTCTTTATTAATAAGATTTTTTTTATAAAAAAAATCTTCCCTGTATAAATACTTTTAGCATTGTAACTCTTTTTAAGTGTATAAATTCTACTGCATAACATATGGCGATAAATTAAAAAAATATTATCAAGTAAAAGATATTGATTAAAAACATATAATCTTGCGGTTGACTCCTATTGTTTTTTACTTCTTATTTGTGTTTTGTTAATTAAAGGAGTCTCAATATTTAACATTTCAGTTAAAGTAGTTGATTATTTGAAAGATATTTAAAAGATATTTGAAAGATATTTGAAAGATTATTTAAAAGCATATAATCGTGATAACACATTCTCTGTCGACCTAGAGGTAAAAGTATATTGATTTAACGCTTTAGCAATTAACGTGTTACTTCAAAAACTAAACTGATACGCACTCTATATTACCCACAGGAGTAGATAAATTATATTTGATGGGCAGTCTCTCTATAATGAACGGATCACGAAGCGGAATTCCATATATGAGCCCACTGTTTCCATTTTGCAGTAAAGACTTGTACTTTTCGAGGAAATTTTTTAAGTTTGTTTGATATATGGTGGACATTACAACTGCAACTAAACATATATGTCATATAATCAGTGATAAATATATGTAAGGATGTTGATAGTAAATATATATAAGGATGTCGATATTACATAATAATGATGTCGATTCCTCTCTGATAGAATTATCATTAAAACTAGAACAAAAAAATACGCGAAGCACGGAAAGATCTGTAGAATCGCGGAATTGATATCGATATATATGAAGAATAGATCGACGAAAATAAAGCATTCATAAATAGACTTATTCAAATATATAATGTCTAAAATCTCTGTATCAAAAACCGAAATACCATTCAAAACAGACAAGTGAGAAATAGAATCTTCCAAAATAAAAAAGCAGCTTAAAAGTAGATCGTTTAAAAATAGATAAAGATAGTGTGATGTAATTGTAAGAACGATATATTTCCGGAAAAATACTATTCGATATACGTCTAGAGAAATATTAGAGGAGAAGAAATATTGTAGGTATCTACTTACAATTATCATCTATTTCAATCGCCCAGGCATGGCAACAGATCAGGATAAGCCCGAACGCTACGAAGTTCATTTTTCTGTACAAAGCAGAAAACACGATCGATTTAACCGCTTCTGAAGACGAAGGGGGTTAGAATACATCCTTAGAAAATGTATGTGTCATATCTCAAAATATTACCAGAAATACCAGGTATATCAGATATTATTCTAATATTATATCTCAGTATCCGTGTAAAAGTTGAACATAATTCTCTTAGTGGTATAAAAGTTATTTAATTTTTTTGTTAGCTTTGTGTATAAAATCGCGTTTGTAGTAGTTATTTGCAAATTTGATAAGATCACAGCATTACGAATTAAATCAATCTCTAATAAACTGCAGCAAAATGCTGCATTTCGCTGCATAAAGCCATTATAAACCGAATCTTTTTTTTATTTTTTGCAGTTGGATTCAGAACGAATTTATGACAAAAATTTGCTGGCTAATATCAGCAGATATTGATTTTTTTAATCGATTTTTTGATTGATACTTCTCGCCGATATTGTATAGCCAAAATATTCTTAAAATCACCGAATTCACCACTATTCCGAACAATGAGTGATCTTACAAATTAACGATGTGGAAACGCACCTGGATATTCTCGGTGGAGAGATTCTAGTAAATTCAGGATGAGTCGGCAAGTCGACACTGCAGATTACTGGGTATCGTACTTTTGGCACCATACTTATAGATACCTATATTCGGTGGGAATACGTGATAATTACGCAAGAATCGTTTTGTAACTTGAGCCGTTAGCAAATGTCGCGTAATTGTCTTTGTGTTTGTATGACTTGTGACATACGATAAAGAGTCGCATGTGTTGTAATTGAGAAAATTATGTTATCTTATATAAGCCTTGGCCAAAAATATTAGGCACTTTATTAATCATTATTTAAAGCTCAGAAATTGATTTATGACTTTTCTTGTAAATTATCCTTCATTTCAAATACTTTTTAAACTTACGTACAATACCGATAATCAACATTGAGAGAAAAATGTACCAAATTTTAATAATATTAATAAATATTTTTTGAAAAAAATTGCCTTATTAAATATAAACATGTATTTATTTGGTACAAGAACCATAAATTTGATTTAACCATTATTTTTTATTTAGCAAATATGTATTTTCTGTAAATAAATGTTACGGTAGTATTAGTTAAACAATTATTCATTAAAATTTAGTACATTTTTCTCTCAGTAAATACCCTGATAGCAAAACCTGCGGAGACAAATTTTGAACAGAACTTGCTACCAATTTTTGATTGCAGAAAGGCACCAAATTGTATGATTTTGTGTTATCTAACATTGTCAGTAAATTGTTGCCAGAAATATACCAAAGCCTGCTAGACATGCTATGCCAGCAGATTGGTAGCAGAAACCGAGCAAAGTCTTGCATAACCTAACGGCAGATTAAGAGCATATTGAGAGCAGAACCTGATTCAAGCATTCTGCTCGGTTTCTGTCACCAATCGGCTGGCATAGCCTGTCAACAGGCTTTGTCGACAAATCCATAGCCAAATGCGGACATAGATGGATTTTGTAGTCAAAATCTGATGGAGTTTGCTGCCAATTTGGCTCCAAATTGCTAACATTTTACTATCAGGGTAGATAACAATGATAAAAGAATTTTAGATGAATAATAGTACATTGTGTAACGAGTGAGGTTTAGTTGCTTATTGTGCAACGCGGGCGCCGTTGGCGCACGAACGAAGCGAGTCGAAGTAAAACGTGAAAAACGTCGAAGTAATTAAATTATCAGGGAGGATGTCAAAGGGATGCGCCACGAGCGGAAATTTCGCTTACGGCTATCCATTTAAGAGACATCCTATCAAAAGTCACTCTGAAGTCATCTCTAAATGAATATGAAGACTAATAAAGGGAATTATTCTTTTGCTTTATTTATATATCGTCGTATTCTTGTGTGTATTGTATTTTTATATTAATTTCTATATTATAAATCATCTATCTTGTTAAATACGAGAGGGTTGCTTTTGCCTACAAATCGATTGCCTACAGTACCGTTTGCCTACATCCCATTTGCCTACAAATCGATTGCCTACATGTTCCATTGCCTACAGATCGATTGCCTACATGTATTATTGCCTACATGTATTATTGCCTACATGTATTATTGCCTACAAGTATTATTGCCTACAGTTCGATTGCCTACAGCTCGATTGCCTACAAGCACTTTTACGCACAAATAAAAATTTTAGAAACAGAATTACTTTTGCCTACATGCATTATTGCCTACAGTTCGATTGCCTACATATACTATTGCCTACATGTACTATTGCCTACATGCATTATTGCCTACAGCTCGATTGCCTACATGTATTATTGCCTACAGCTCGATT